CTATGATGTTTGCAGACGACGTGGTCTGTGGTGAGAACAGGGAACAGGTGGAAGAGAACTTCGAGAGGTGGGGGTATGCACTTGAAAGAAGAGGAATGAAAGTCAGCCGCATGTGTGTGAATGAGCGAGAGGCCGGTGGAACAGTGAGGCTACAAGGAGCAGAGGTCACAAAGGTGCAGGACTTCAAGTACTTTGGGCCCACTGTCTAGGAAAATGGGGAATGTGGTAAAGAGGTGAAAAAGAGAGTCCAGGCAGGATGGAGTGGTTGGAGAAAAGTTTCAGGAGTGATTTGTAACAAAAGGGTGTCAGCAAAATTCAAAGGAAAAGTTTACAAGACAGCGGTGAGACCAGCTATGTTGTATGGTCTGGAGACAGAGGCACTGACAAAAAGACAGGAGAAAGAACTGGAAGTGGCAGAAATGAAGATGCTAAGGTTCTCATTAGGAGTGACAAGGATGGATAAGTTTAGGAATGAGATCATCAGAGGTACAGCACATGTTGAACAACTGGGAGATAAAGTTAGAGGAGCCAAACTGAGATGGTTTGGACATGTCCAGAGGACGGACAGTGGATATACTGGTAGAAGGATGTTAGAAATGCAGCTGCCAGGAAAAAGACAGAGTATGGCCAAAGAGGAGATATATGGATGCAGTTAGATAGATAGAGGATGCAGAGGACAGTGTGAAATGAAGGAGGATGACTTGTTGTGATGACCCCTGAAGAGGGAAAAGTTGAAAGAAGAAGGATAAGAAGAAGTTAGGAGAAATTAAAAGTCCACACCAAACAAAAACATTGGTTACAGGAGAATAAGATTTCTTGCCACATTGTGAGGTGGAGGGAGGATGTCAGGAAATTTATATGGGTGGTCAATGCCTCACCCCTTACCCCCCCACCCTGACCCCTCTTTGGTGGCACCTCTGCTTTCACTGCATAAAAGATCCATTCTTTTTATTCCTCTTTAGGTTTCATGGCTCCGTGAAGTTAAAAGAATACATGTCTGGTTGTAGCCCAACTGTTCTGCAGAACTGACTTTAAAGAAATGAAGACAAGTCACACAAAACAAGTCTTACATTATTTGAGTCAAAAAGAGAAGCACACCAGCGCAGACAACATGACAAATAAACAGAAAACATAAATCTGTCTCACCTCTGTCAGCACATTCTCTAAATTTACTACGGACAACTTAGCTGAAGACCGTAATCTAATTTTCAAACGAAGAATACGACCTGTTAACCCAAATAAAAATATTATATTGAGAAAATAAGGGAAATGCATATAAATATACACTCAGCTATTATCTAAAATAAAAATAAAAACTTTTAATCTATATTTATATTAATATCAGTTAATAAGAATGTTGTTATTATTGCAGTTGTAAAAAAACAGTGTTAGAAGCCAAAAAATATATTATTTTCTACAGGATATAATTATATAACAAAATACGGATTGTTGTTATTTATCATTTTTTTATTGTTTAATAAAGTAATGAATTGCTTTTTATACGGACAGTAAGAATTGCATCAAAGTTTTAGTTTAAAAAATAAACAAGTAGAAACACATACTAGCCCAAAATAATAGAGAAAATCAGGAAAAACAAAGTGTACTGTGTGATCAACCTGCAATGAAACAGATACTTGATGATTTTGGCAAGACGGTGTTTGTTTGCATGGAAAAATAATGTTAAGATTAATCTTTGACTGTCATGTTTACAGATTTAGAAAACAAACATAGATGTCACTGATTTCATTTTATTTCTATGAACAAGAAAACAAAAACCCATAAGCGAATAACCATCAAGTATTGCTTGTTTTAAATACCCAAACAGTCAGAATAAATATTTATCTCGAATATCTTACCAGTAGCTGCAGCGATGATGACTCCGCCGCTTCTGACGTTCTCAAACACAGAGAAGAGGATGAAGGTGTATTCAGTTCCAGCAGTGAGAGACGAGACTGTGTGAGCTACAGCTCCGTTTCCAGTTGGTGAACTGACGTTTGTCTCTGCGTTGTTAAACTGGAGAACAAAGGTGACGCTGATGTTCACTGTGTTCCACTTCAGAGTGATGCTGGTCTCATTTTGTGCTCATGGTCTGAACCCTTCTGGGTTTGGAGGAGCTGAAACAGAAAAAGAGCAATCATACAACCTGTTTTCTATTTCAATCTATCCACTTCTTCCTTTACTTATTTGAAAAAATAAAATAAAATTCTTATGGGATGGAAATAAGCTTACAGTGACTTGTGAAAGTTTTCATCTCCCTTGAACTTTTCAACCTTTTGCCACATTTCAGGCTTCAAACATAAAGATATAAAATTTTAATTTTTTGTGAAGAATCAACAACAAGTGGGACACAATCGTGAAGTGGAATAAAATTTATTGGATGTGTCAAACTTTTTTAACAAATAAAAAACTGAAAAGTGGGGTGTGCAATATTATTGGGCCCCTTTACTTTCAGTGCAGCAAACTCACTCCAGAAGTTCAGTGAGGATCTATGAATGATCCAATGTTGTCCCAAATGACTGATGATGATAAATAGAATCCACCTGTGTGTAATCAAGTCTCCGTATAAATGCACCTGCTCTGTGATAGTCTCAGGGTTCTGTTCAAAGTGCAGAGAGCATCATGAAGACCAAGGAACACACCAGGCAGGTTCGAGATACTGTTGTGGAGAAGTTTAAAGCCGGATTTGGATACAAAAAGATTTCCCAAGCTTTAAACATCCCAAGGAGCACTGTGCAAGCAATCATATTGAAATGGAAGGAGTATCAGACCACTGCAAATCTACCAAGACCCGGACGTCCCTCTAAACTTTCATCTGGAACAAGGAGAAGACTGATCAGAGATGCAGCCAAGAGGCCCATGATCACTCTGGATGAACTGCAGAGATCTACAGCTGAGGTGGGAGAGTCTGTCCATAGGACAACAATCAGTCGTACACTGCACAAATCTGGCCTTTATGGAAGAGTGGCAAGAAGAAAGACATTTCTCAAAGATATCCATAAAAAGTTGTTTAAAGTTTGACACCTGGGAGACACCAAACATGTGGAAGAAGGTGCTCTGGTCACATGAAACCAAAATCCAACTGTTTGGCCACAATGCAAAACGATATGTTTGGCGTAAAAACAACACAGCTCATCACCCTGAACACACCATCCCCACTGTCAAACATGGTGGTGGCAGCATCATGGTTTGGGCCTGCTTTTCATCAGCAGGGACAGGGAAGATGGTTAGAATTGATGGGAAGATGGATGGGGCCAAATACAGGACCATTCTGGAAGAAAACCTGTTTGAGTCTGCAAGAGACCTGAGACTGGGACGGAGATTTATCTTCCAACAAGACAATGATCTAAAACATAAAGCCACATCTACAATGGAATGGTTCACAAATAAACGTATCCAGGTGTTGGAATGGCCAAGTCAAAGTTCAGACCTGAATCCAATCGAGAATCTGTGGAAAGAGCTGAAGACTGCTGTTCACAAACGAGTCCCCGAGGCTCAATGGGATAACCTGCGTAAATAAAGGTTGAATGAAAAATGTTCATATAACATCTGGATTATTTTAATCCATCTCATTATTTTAAAGATTATACAGCAGACTCAATAGAAGAAAAACAGAAATAAAAAAAGCTACTCAGTTTGAACATTAAAATGTAAAATAAACATTTACACATCCTCATTCTTACATCCTGGAGGCCACTTAGAAGAATAAGAATGGAGGTAGATGCTGCCTTCAGGGTTTCAGGAAAAATCAGTCACAGTGAATGTTCCAACACTGCAGGTGCATTTTTATATAAAAATAATTCCTTTTCTTTTCTCTGTGCTATTTTGTGCTATAAACTAAAAATAAGTGTTTATTTAGAATTATAAAGCTAAATTTTAGCTAATGACCACTTCATAGCTAAACCAACAATGTTCAGTCCGGTCATCTGGCGGTTTCTCTTTTTTTTTTTCTGAGACGTTTCGTCCTTCATCCAAAGGACTTCTTCAGTCTGAGGAGCCACAAACAACATGGAGTCCCACAAATAGCACATTCCCATAGTGGAAACTCAACTATGGGAGTGTAGTATTAGTGGGACTCCAGTTTTTTTGTGGCTCCTCAGACTGAAGAAGTCCTTTGGATGAAGGACGAAATGTCTCAGAAACAAAAATGTGATATTTGTGTCAAAAGACTACATTTTTAAAGATTTTGGGTGAAATTTAAAACAATATTTGCACAACATTTATGATATTTGCGACCTGACTTCGGAACAAGAGGAAGATAAAGGATGGATTTATGGTATTTGGTTCACAATGCTCTAAAAGAGAGTTTGTATTACTTTTTAAAATGTATGTACACTCTCATATTTAAATTAGATTAGATTGGGCTGCAAAGCTTGGTGGTCAGTGCAGTGGTCTTGTAATCCTGAGGTTGCAGGTTCAAGCCCAGGCTGCATCAGGAAGGACATCCGGTGTAAAACAAATGAAAGATTGCCAAATCTTTCATGCGAGTTCGCTCGCTGTGGTGACCCCTGAAGAAGGGAGCAACCAAAAGAAACTTGGGGGGAAATGGGGACTGGTGGTGCAGAGGATAGAGAAGGTGGGTCTGTGATCGGAAGTCGCTGATTCAACTCCCTGGACCGACAACATCAAAATGTGTGTGGAAAAGGTGAAACACCTACACCTGCCTCCACCCTCGTTTGCCCCACTCTGGGCCCTTGAGCAAGACCGTTCACCCCACCATCTGCTCCCAAACAGGCTTCTCACGAAAATGAGTCCTTGTGACTCAGTGGAACTAAATAAATTTAAACTAAAACTTACTATATCTAAATTAAATATCATAAGCCCAGGTTCTGAAAACAAGTAGATCAGATTTACACTAAATGCATTTTGACACGTCTCCTTTTTGATTGTCGCTTTCACACCTGCAAGTTGACGTCATAATCTGCCGCTGCGAGCTTTCCGTGCGCACCTGAACGCAGCACGGGAGCATCAGCGAGAAGCGTCGTGGAGGAGGAGGAGGAGAGGAAGAGGGGACGCGAATCGAGGAGAAGCATGAAGAAAATCCCCGGAATCTGAGCAGGAGGACGGGGAGAGCTTCCTCCCTGTCTCGTCGGAGGTCGACAGGAAGCGGAGGTGGGGCAGCATGGAGGAGGAGAAGCAGTTTCTTTGTGGGGTGGTGGAAGGTGAGAGAAGCCGACTTCATTAATGACCTCCCAGCTGGTCATGTGATCTATTTTTATTATGTATTATTTTGCCTTCAGGACACTAATTCTTAACTAAGCTGTATTAAAAACCCGTTTTGCTCCTTACTGTCTGCTGGGCGTGGAGGGGGTTGATGAATTTATTTATGAGGCTCGGATGGAGATGATGGAGAGGGAGTCAGCCAAGCAGCAGGCGGTGGGAAACACTGGGATGCTGTCTGGTTGATGGAGGAAGATGTTTGGAGCTTATCTGCTCAAAATAAAAAGACTAGGCTGAATATACTAAAACAAATGAGAGTTATAGGAATTAAAATATATATATATGATGTTACAAAATGGAGACTGAGGTCTGGCATGACACATACAGATGTTATGGAGATGCTGTGGGAAGTCTGTTATTTAGGTGATAAGAATGATAACAGAAAGTCTCAACTTTGGAGATGTGATTAGTAAAAAGGTGATGATGAGGAGAATAATGTTGGTGATTAAGATCATGCAAGGTGCAACTGAAACAAGTGTGTGTTTATGTTGCAAAAGGTAGATGATGATGATATTTAGTGACCTACTTCGTTTCTAATCACACCTGATGTTAGTTCGACATGCATCATTTTGGGGAACCAAGTCCTGCGAACCCTTTGAGTTTATTGCGTTAGTGAAAGTTTGAGATGTGACGCTCATGGACGATCCAAATCTTTGGAACGACTCTTTAAAACGAACGACGGGAGCGGAGGCGCAGACAAAGAGCCACTCTTTTTCTCCTCCTCATGTGACACAGACACACGTGCTCCTTCTTTGCTTTTCCGTGGCAAAGGGGAGGAGTGCAGCACTTGCTGGATATGGTGAACATGCGCTCAGGAGGACGGAGTGGGTTTGAGTAGTGACAGCTCATGTGGTCCGGCTGCGTGTCGTACATCAGCTGTACGTATGACGTACTCCGTTCAGGCCGAGCCGCCTGACTAATCGTTCAAAACTGATCAGCTCTTTGAATCTTAACTGGAGTTAGTAGGAGAGTGGCTCCGTGTCAAATCCAGAATTTAATTCAAACTCTTACTCCTAACCTACAAAGCCCTCAACAGCCTAGCTCCATCTTATATTTGAGATCTTATTGTTCCATATTTTTCTAACAGAGCGCTTCGCTCTCAGACTGCGGGTTTACTCGTGGTTCCTAGAGTTTCCAAAAGTAGAATGGGAGGAAGATTTTTCAGTTATCAGGCTCCTCTCTTGTGGAACCAACTTCCAGTTTCTGTCCATGAGGCTGACACTTTGTCCAGTTTTAAGACTTTCCTTTTTGATAAATCCTATAGTTAGGGTTGGCTTGTTATGCTGCTATAGGCTTAGACTACTGGAGGACAAACTGACCTCATTTCCTTAAATGAATTGTTAAAATTGAATAGTTTTCATTTGATACTATTTCTATCTTAACGTGATTCTTGACCTGCCATTGTGTATCTGTTCCTACTGGTCGACGCAGATGGCCACTTATCCCGAGGCTGGTTCTGCTAAAGGTTTCTTCATCACGAGGGAGTTTTTCCTTTCCACTGTCGCCTTCATGCTCGCTCAAGATGAGAGTCTGTGATGGAGTTAAACTCAAAGCTGCTCCTCAGATAATTAATGTTAAATTATTATTTTTATACGGATGTTTCTGTTTAGTGCCCCGAGACCACTTCTGTTGTGACTTGGCGCTTTATGAATAAACTGAATTGAACTGAGTTAAAAGGAATGGATCCACAAGATCCGGCTCCGTTCAAAGAACCGTAAATCCCATCTCTAGAAAGTTTACATAAACTTTTAAGTTGAGTAAAATCATCAAATGATATGAATGCAGTTATGAGTTCACTTCTATAAACTGAGCAACTTTAAATTAAACATTTCTTCTTAGTTTTCACCTAATCCGCATTCAAGCAGATAATCTTAAAGATTAGTTTGAGTTTTATTTTATACGACTTAAGTTTTGAAAATTCTTCAGGATTTTTTGAGTTTTTATAACAAAACTAAGGTCTTTCTAAAAAAAAAAACATTAACTAATTGCTTATTTGTTGATTTATTAGAGCATAATCTGATATTTGTTTAAAAAAAAAACCAGAGACAAACAGTTTGTAACTTGGAGCAGGTCAAAGAAATGTATGAAGCAAATTTGTTATAAGTAAATTAAAGTAAACGAAAAAAATATTTGTACTACAATCATAGCTTGAGTACAGCATCATTTATGGAATTTATTTACTTTTTTCTGATATCTAAGTTTTAATAACTTTATTTTTTAATTTAATTTAATTGTGCTTTTTAAGTTTGCAGTGATTAAACTTTTTTTTTTTCATGAAAAATGGCAGTTTTCTAATTATTGACATAAAACAAGATTCAAGATTAGATAATAAACCTCAAACCTAGACTTTGTTTTTCCATGTTTACTAAATCTAATAAAATATTTTCACCTGAATACTAAAGTTAATATATTTTAAACATATAAGCCTTTGATGCTGTGGGATCTTATAATTGATATTGTTTTGTTTAATTCATTATTTTATGACTGTTCTTTGCCTGAAATTATTTTACTAACTGTTTTAGTTGCTACTGCTGATTTTTAAAACTCATAACCTCAAACTTTGTTGAGTTCATATGTTGAAGAAATATGTATGTTTTATTTTTATATTTTTTGTAATTTCTTCTAATCAAACCTCTCTTGGACCCAGTTCACAACAACACTATGCTTAAATATGAACTTTGTTGCTAATTTTGCCTCTTGATTAATTCTTTTAACCGTCCAAACTCTTAAAATCTCAGTGAAATAGTTTTCACTAGATGCTATATTTCCTCCAACATGTTGGTTTCTCAAAGTCATCTCCAGAAGGGGTCATTTGTTATGGCTGTAGATGCAACACACACGTGCACACAAAACTAATACAATTGTAAAAAAATAAAATCCTTATTTGCACATAAAAGTATTTGGTTTGTTGGTGTTTAATTCACTCCTCAGCCTGACCCGCTTACTGTAGTCGGATACTTGCACACACAAACTGCAGACTTATTCAAAAACACCAAGGACCCAGAGGGACACTGGAGACGCTCCCATTTCTAAAAATAGAAAATGTGTTGGGAGAGAGTGCATGCAGATAAGTTGAGCCTGCAAATGCAGTGAGATGTGGCCAAGGAGCCACTGGAAGATCTCAGCTCCTGCTTCTACCCCCCAGCTGCTATTGATCCAAACGGACACTGCACCTGATCAGATTGGGGATAAAAGCAGCAGCCTTTATAATACTCCCTAAAAATATACAAATAGAAAATTCATCCATATTATCTTTACCCGCTTCTTCCTTTTCTGGTCGTGGGAGTCACTGGTGCCCTTACCCAGCAGGACATACCCACACCCTGGACATGTCTCCAGTCCATCACAGGGACACATAGAGACAAACGAGACAAACAACCATTCACGCTCTCACTCACACCTAGGGACAATTTAGAGTTACCAATCAGCCTAACATGCATGTTTTTGGTCTGTGGGAGGAAACCGGAGTACCCGGAGAATGCACAGAGAGAACACGCAAACTCCACACACAGATAGACCCCCCGGCCGGGACATGATCCTGCGACGGAAGCAACAGCTCTGAGCCATCGTGCTGCCCCAAATATAGAATAACAACAAAAAACGACTAACTTTAATTAACTACAGTCCTGCTTGAAGATTTGTGATGGTCATATGCAAAATGATGTTTGGGGGCTGTTATTTTGCCAAACTGTGATAAATAAATTCCTAAACCTAATCCAGTAGAATCCCAAAATTTAGTTTTTATTATGCCACTAAAACACTAACCACAGCTCACCGTTGCAGCTTATTTTAGTCTTATGTTTTACATTTTCCTAACAGAGCACATCGCAAACTGCAGGCTTACTTGCGGCTTCCAAAAGCAGAATGGGAGAAAGATATTTCAGTTGTCAGGCTCCTCTCTTCAGTTTCTGTCCGTGAGGCTGACACATTGTCCAGTTTTAAGACTGGCCTTAAGACTTTCCTTTTTCATAAATCCCATTATCAATTACTTCTGGAATTGCGCCACTCAAGGTGGCTGCATGTTGGAGCAGCTCTGTTGAATTCATTCTGGGTTACTGCTTTTGAAAACTTTAATTCCTCTTTTTCTGGATGTAAATCGCTCTTTTCGGATGACTGTTTCCTCTGGTATCGGATGCTGTGCAGCTGGAATGATTTTTACTGAAACCTTTTTACTTTTCAGTATTTGTTATGACGTGTAACCATGGCAACCAGTTTTTTTTTTTTTTTAACAATCAGGAGCAGCTGATTAACATCTCAAAAGCTCAAATACCTCAACTACAGCCCCAAATCCCAAATGAGTTGAAAAGGAGGTGCTGTGGATGAATTCCCGTCAACCTGGTGGCGGTGCTCGAGTACCTGACCACCGAGATCCTGGAGCTGGTGGGAAACTTGACTCGTGACAATGGGAGGACCGGGATAATCCCCCGGCACCTTCAGCTGTCTGTTCGTGGCGACGAGGATCTCGGCAGACTGCTGCGAGGAGTGGCCATCTCTCAGGGAGGAATTCTGGGCTTTTGGTCAGTCCTGCTGCCCCGGAGGACCGAGAGGCCCGCAGGATCTGTCCGGGTGGACTGATCGGTATCTGTGGCCAGATTCTTCAGATTCGCTGCAGGAGATCCTTCCTGCCCACAGCGATCAGCATCTATAGCAACTCTCGAATGAAACTGGGATAATGAGCTACGACAACACTTAATTTCCCTTTGGGATTAACAAAGTATTTCTGAATAGTTAGGGTTGGCTTGTTCTACTGCCTTAAACTTAGACTAGTGGTGGACAAATTGACCTAATTTCTTAAAATTAATTGTTAAAATTAAATAGTTTTCACTTGATACTATTTGTATCTTAACATGTGGTTCTCGACCTGCCATTGTGTATCTGTTCCATTTTCCTGATGGCTGATTAGACTCTGTTAAATGGCTTATTAACCATTATTTTATACTTAAACCAGCAATGAAACATTAAACTGTAAGATTTAATACATGGTCAATATTTCCTATTAGAGTTTATAAATCTGTCTGTTACCAGAAAGGTGTGAATTGATTATTTTCAGTATATAGGTAATGTTGCTTATTTGCGCTCATTTAAATGTGTTTTTTCTCCAGGTTTCTATGGTCGGCCCTGGTCCATGGATCAGAGGAAAGTTCTCTTCCAATGGTGAGCCTGCCATCTCCCATCACAGAAATTGAAGTGGCTCATACTTCTAACAACAAATACTCGTTAAACAAAAAGTAGAAGACTGGATTTTGATGTGACAGCAAACTGGGGTTTTATTGAAGCAAGAAATACCGACCCGAACAGTCTTATAGCTTTTCAGAGAACTCAACTTCATACAATTTCCTTGTTACTTTTATACCTCCTTCATGTGCCATAAAATCAGTTTTTCTGTTCTCAGCTCATGTTACATATACTCTTAATGAGGAATTTTCTGGGTTGGGCTGTCCCTGACGATGTTTCCTGTTCAGAACTTTGGCTCACACACATTTCCCATCAGCAAAATGCTCTGAAACGGAACCACAATTTTATGATTCAAAAGACTCCCTTTCCATATTTGGGAACAAGAAGTCCTGCATGCAAACGTTTCCCTTGGCATTCCACTTCAACCTCACGTGCACACTTTTTCACTACATAGCTGTGTTCTGTTTAGTACATATGTCTTGGACTAAAAAGTTTATTTCAAATTGAGTCTTTGTAGTGTATGTTTGCTAGCCTGTATGTACTTCTGAGTACGTAAAGTGTACATATAGATGTGACTGTGTGTATTCTATTGTAAACCTGGTCACAGGCCACTTGTTTCTGTTTTTGTAATGCATGAACATTGTGAACTGATGATTCACTGACATCCAGAAACAAGCTGGTATGTGAGTGAGGGAGATCACTTTTGAGATCCTCACAAGAATCTCTCTCACTTGCAGCTCGCTCCAGCAGCCTATTGAATTTGACGTGTTAAAGTGTTCGCACCAAACCGTGCAGCCCTTGAATGGTTCAAGTTGTACCTGTGAGATCAGCTTCCATTTAGGAAAGTGTGCCCCAAATTAATTGTGAGGTACCTCAAGGTTCTATTTTAGGCCCAGTCCTCTTCTCATTATACATGCTTCTCTTGGGCTTCATTATCGAAAGCACATCACTTTTTTACTGTTGCATTATTAAATTTATCTTTGTCTCAAGCTTTCTTCAATTCAAGCCTCGTTAAATTATTTTAGGATGCAGTAGTCCCTTGTTTATCGCGTGAGATCCATACCCTGAAACCCCGCGATAAGTGGAAAAAAGCCAAGTAGGAATAGTAGTAAGTAGGAGTTTATTTTATATATACATATACACACACACACACTTGCAATATTCTAAACAAAGTTTCTAAACGCTCTAAAAAGAGCACAGAATGTCATGACTTCAGCTCTTTGCATCCAGCTGCACTCAGCCACCTGCAAGCAGTCTTGGCCACGCCCACTTCTCCACTCTGCATAGAGAACAGCTGATCGGCTGCAGGAGGAAGCTTATCCTGCAGTGTGGGCTGCAAAGAGTTGCAGGAGGAAGCTTTTTCTGAAGCTGTCAGCTGCACAAACCTGCAGCAGGTGCTAAATAATTTAAAATTATGTATTATTTGATAACATTTAATCAAGATTAATGAGCATGAAGTTTTTTTTGTTGGATTCTTTAATTTATTTACATGTAAATTACATCTCTACTCTGTTCAAGTGTTGATCAGTACCATTCAAAACCATCACAACATAGAAATATTGAAAAAATATACGAGGATAACTTTTTTTTAAAGTTAAACATGTAATAAAGAGAGCATTGTTGCTCTAAAAGTAATTTTAAACAAGCCTGCAGGGTATTTTGAGTCGTGGCCAAAATATCACGCCTTCCTGCATGTGCCAAAAAAATCTTCTTCAAAGCATAAAAACTGTCTCGCTCTTTATGACTCAGCTCAACGCACAAGCGGCATTTTGAAAAGCATATTTAGTCTTATTTTATTTAAAAAACAAACAAGCACATAAGGAAGAAATCACTCAAACATACTTTAAATGTACGAACGAAGGACACAGCGTTCCTTTCTCATGCACACTCAAGTTCTTCGTAGCTGGAAGTGAACTAATTAATTCTTAATGCCACACACTTATCTAGAAGGATTAAAACTTAAATCCCTGTTTAAAGCTGGGACAAAGTTTTAATGCAGTGTGTACCTCTGCTTGCTTCTGCTTCTTAATAAACTATGTTCAAATCCAACCAAACCATTCTTGCACTGTGTTTTTGTTTTTTTCCAATTATGACACACGAAAAAAAGTTCGTTTTAAGTACCGTACTTTGCGCCATAAGTCGCCTCAGGCCAAATATGTCTAATAAAGTGGAAAAAAGCATAAATACATCACTTCGCCATATAAATCTCATCAGTTACACGTCACCGCTGATAACCTGAAAATGTGGGCCGGTGTGCCAAAAAAAAAAAAAATCGATTGGCTGCCAAATGGCGGTCGCAGGAGCGTACACGGGGGGACTTTAGCAAGAATTTAACAAGCTTAACACTTAAAAACAATTATTTGTTTGCTCAAAATTATATTAAAGGTTTGTATCAGTTGAACTTTTCCTTAATAAATGCACTTTAATGGTCAAATCAGCTGCATTTCAAAAGCTGATTCAAGGCTGCGGGAGCACGCAGAGGAAGGACTCGCTGTGCATTTCTTCACAAGTTAACAAGCTAACCACCTAAAAACAATTATTTGTTTGCTTGACATTATAGTAAAGGCGTGTCTCAGTTGAACTTTTAAATGCACTTTAATGGTCAAATCAGCTGCATTTCACCTGGGCGGCGTGGCGAAATGCAGCTGATTTCACGTTTGCTCCAGGAGTTCCGGAGAGAGACGACGGTGGCCTGTATGGCAAGCCAAGTGTCTCATTAATAGCCACTTTTACCTACGAATGAGACACTTGGCTTGCCATGTTGTTCGAGGGCCCTCTAGTGGCTGAAAATGGTAGTGTTCAATATTTTCCATGTCAGAATGAATGAAAACGCTCAGTTCTCAGCCAAAAGTTGTTATAACTATGGAGGGAAAAAAAGTATATTAGTTGCTTCGGTGTATAAGTCGCAGGACTTGCAAATTTATACAAAAAAGTGTGACTTATAAAGCGAAAAATACGGTAGGTTAAATATTGCATGAAACAGCCATTGTTCTTTATAATCTGTGCTGTATTCTTTACATCATCAGGAATCTGGTTTAAACAGACACACAACAACAAAAAAAAAAAAATCCAATCTATGAGCATCTGCTGAGTGTGTGGGCTCCAGATTTATTATTAGAAAGTTTGTTTTTGGACTCTAGTGTGGGGTGCAGCACAATAGCTGAGCGTTGCATAAGTTTGGCATGAATAATGCTGTCCATGGCGTCCAAATTTGTGTGTGCACGGTTGTGGGTTTGTGGGTGTGTAGGTTGCTGCTTTGTGGAGATAACTCACATGCCATCTGTCCAGGAAGTGAAACAGTGGCAAAGTGGGAATATGGCCCTCCTACAAATGAGCAACAAAGAAGAAAACAAGTCAAAAGACAGAAACATTCATGTCTGTGGATGTGCATGCGAATGGTTTCTGGTTCAGACATCCCTCCACTCCTAGTACTATGCTCTATTTATAATTCAGAAGCTTGTTTCCTGTAACCGACGCGGCCTTGTTTCATCACAATCAATACAGCGGATCAGTTTGCTTCCAGTTTGTTGCCGTTTTTATCTTTCTTCCTGTCCTCTCCTCACCATCAGCTCCTAAACTGTCGCTGGACGCAATCCTATCTGACAAATACAAGATGCAAAATATGGAACAGAAACTAATGGATGAAGCACAGCCAAGTTGCACATTGAATTTATAAAAGAAGTCAGTGAGGGATAGATATTTTTAGCAAAACAGCCATTGCATTGAAAGTCAAAACAGATGATCCACTCACCAAATTCATCCTAACCATCCAATTACCCTCACGTGAACTAAGAATGGAGTCATTAATTTAATTTTTCTTTTGCCTAAACCTTTAAGTTTGAGCAAATGAAGCATTTAATGTAACGATCTGGTGATGGTTGAACCCAAAACCCAGTGAGGACTCGGAGGACTCAGGTTTAAAAGCAAAAGTTATTTAATGAAAACAAACAAAAGGGCAGCAACAACTTACATGAACCATGAGAGGAAACTAAAGGAGACGAAGCCTTCCCCAGATAACAAAGAACAGGAGACGCAGATTTACATACACTAACGACAGACAGATGATAAACAGCTGTAAGAGACAACAGGTGGTAGCAGAAGCTAATTACATGAGGGAGAAATAGCTGGGACAGACCACAAGAGGAAGACACCACTAGGAACAGAGTCTAACAAGGAGCAGAGAAGGAAATAAAGACAAGAGAAACATAAAGAAAACAGACCAAAAGGACAGATTATGTCACTTAAAGTTGTATTTTAATAACATGTTTCCCTCCTCTCCTGTAGGATGCAGCGCTGGGGGTTGAACACCTACCTGTATGGTCCAAAGGACGACCTTAAACACAGACTGCTGTGGAGAGAAGTCTATTCTCCCGAAGAGGAAGGTAAATGCATCCGTCCATCAGAATGTCACTTTGTTAGTTACATTTATAGGACTCTCCAAGCTGTTGCCATCCAGTCACAAATAATCATTTTAAATCATCTTTCCTTCATGATAAACCATTTTATGTATGAGTTTTGTCTAGTTCTTAAATAATCTAATTTCAACTTTTTCCTTTTGCACCTTCTGTCCTCTCAGCTCAGCTGCGCACGCTCATAGCAGAGGCCCAGTTCAGAGGCCTGAGGTTCGTTTACGCTCTGTCTCCTGGTCAGGACATCGTCTTCTCTTCTTCCTGTGACCTGACGCTGCTTAAACGCAAGTTGAAACAGGTAATATGTGCAGGCAATTCCATTCAGTTTATTTATATAGCACCAAATCGCAACAGAACTTGTCTCAGTGTACTGAACAGAAACATTCACATACATACAAAAGTCAATTAGTAAAGTTCTCTGTCTAAGGAAGCAGCAGACGCGTTGAATCTTCACTTTGACGCAGTCTTCCATCCTGAGCAAGCACAAAGGCAACAGTGGAAAGAAAAACCTCATTTTTGACAGGAAGAAACCTCCAACAGAACCAGGCTCTGAACTAGTAACTCAGAACTAGGCTGCTTTTGGCAACGCTAGGAACCACAAGTAAACCTGCAGTCAGAGAACAAAGTGTTCTGTTAGGGATACATGGAACAATAAGATCTGTAATATAAGATGGAGCTAAGTTGATGAGAGCTTTGTAGGTTAGAAGTAGGATTTTGAATTCTGTTCTGAATTCAGATACCTTAGAAAACTCCTTTGTTCAGTTTCTCATATAAAACCTCCGCTTGCACCCTCTTTCAGGTCTCAGACCAGGGTTGTCAAGCATTCGCCATTCTCTTTGACGACATCGATCACTCCATGTGTCAGGCCGACAGCGAGGCCTTCGCCTCGTTCGCCCACGCTCAGGTCACAGTAACCAATGAGATTTATCAGTTCTTGGGGGAACCAGATGTCTTCCTTTTTTGCCCAACAGGTAGGCCTAAAATCCAGACTTAGCAAAGTACCATCAGGTGTTTTTATAGCATAAAACACTGTTTTCTTGTCCTTCTTTCTCACTGTAGAGTACTGCGGTTCTTTGTGCTCTCCCAGTGTGTCCAAGTCTCACTACCTGCAAACCATTGGAGAGGACCTCCTGCCCAATATAACAGTAATATGGACAGGTAAAACCAAAATACCAACAATGTCTTTCTCCCAACAGGGCGCTATTTGTTCAGTACAAAGGGACCTGCCGTTTTTTTTTTTTTGATTTTATATCCAATTCCTTGTCTAATAAAAGCATTCACAAACGCACTCATCATGCACACATGCAAAGTTGTCTGTGCACTACCTCCTCCACAACGCAGGCAGTAATTTAGGTGCACCTCCACCCACATGCAGATGGAAGTTCAAAAGAGACATGTACACCCTCACCCACTCACTTTCAGTTAATTTATTCAGTGTTATTGCTTCGCTCTATAGTCTTACACCTAAAGTTGCTCCATGGGAGTCAGATCCTGCAGTTAAAACTACATTCAATGTGCATATTTTAATTATCAGTCACCTCTGTTGTGTTTGTTTGTATTAGTGGAGTGCTGACAAAGACATGAGGAAGTTATGTCACACTGTGATTTGCAGCCTTGCAGTTTTATCCAACTGTTAAACAAACCTGGTATTGTTTATGTTGATTTAGTTTCTTGAGATCTGTAATCTGTTTTAGCCACCAAGGCTTCTTTTTCATAGGTCATGCTCTGCTCGGCCCTTATTGACCCTTATTGGGCCAGTACATGTCGGATCACTTCATTTTCCATTTACATGGTGCCCATTAGTGCCCCTTTAGTGTGCAGATCATTATTATCAACGCACCGACACCTTTTTAAAGACCTTCGCGTTACGTGTCGCTCCATCTAGCTCGCTCTGAACTTTTTCTTCGGCCAGCAAACACAAAAACGCCTGAACTTCAGCATTTGACCACGGTTGTGACATTATTGTTTGTTTTATACCTTCAACATACTCCAAAATACGTTCCTCCAGATTCGAGTTGTTTCTAAAGGCGGGTTAAAAAGAAAACGGCAGATCGGGTTGCGGTGGAAGATTCTGAAACTCTGCCTCCGACCTATGACTCCGCCCCCTGACCAATCAGTGATCGATAGTGCACTGACGTCACGTTTTAGGGTCCCGCTTGGCCTCAATGGAACCGCAGAGAAGAAGGTACTGAAAGAACAGGCTGGTTCCAGGAAGAAGGCCCTGTGGAAAAGAACACGGAACCGGCCTGAGAAGGGTAAAGTGGGGCCAAGGAGGAACTGTGGAAGGGGGGCAGTAAACTCTAAGTTGCTAACATTACACTGTTGTTGTTACTTCAACATGTTTTGTAAAGGTAAAGGACTTTCTATGCCTTTGCAAAAACACCCAGCTGACAGACCTAAATCACACAGTAGCATTGCTGCAGAAAATATGCAAACATTCTTTTTGCTGCGTCTTCAGGGAAAAGTTCTGTTCTCTCTCAGCACTTTGCTTTATTAATGCTTCAGTGATGTAGCAACTATGAACGAGCATAGATCAAAGGACTGGTTCAGGTAAAACTTTTCAGATTAGTGGTGAAAAGGTTCACAAAATCTACAGTTGGGTTTGTTTCTTGGTGACTGTTCTTGATTTGTTTTTGTTTTTTTCCCGTTTTTTTATTTATTTTGTAAATGCTCCCCAAATCTGAGGACGTGGTCCTCAATAGGAAAGTGGATTGCTCTCTTCAGGTCGAGGGCGAGGTTCTGCCTCAAGTAGAGGAGTTCAAGTATCTCAGGGGTTTGTTCATGAGTGAGGGAAGAATGAGATTGACAGATGGATTGGTGCAACATCTACATTATTGCGGACTCTGTACTGGTCCATTGTGGTGAAGAGGGAGCTGAGCTGTAAGGCAAAGCTCTCTGTTAATGGGTCAGTCTACATTCCTACCCTCATCTATGGTCACAAACTCTGGGCAGTGACCGAAAGAATGAGATCATGGATACAGGCAGTTGAAACGAGTTTCCTCCACAGGGTAGCTGCTCTCCCTTAGAGACAGGGTGAGAAGTTCAGTTATCCAGGAGAGACTCGGAGCAGGACCGCTTCTCCTCTACATGAAGAGGAGCCAGTTGAGGTGGTTCGGGCGTCTGGTAAGGATGCTCCCTGCGCCTCTCTAGGAGGTGCTTCAGGCATGTCCAATTGGGAGGAGACACCGGGGAAGACCCAGAACATGCTGGAGAGACTACGTCTCTCGGTTGGCCTGGGAACACCTTGGGATCCTCCCAGAAGAGCTGGAAGAGGTGGCTGTGGAAAGAGATGTCTGGGCCTCCCTGCTCAAGCTGCTGCTCCCACGACCCGACTTCGGAACAAGCGGAAGAGAATGGATGGATGAATAAATGATCCCCAAATGCCATGCATCAGCAATAGATGATTTACTTTTTATGCTTTATGAAATAATAGATATAGTTAAAAAAAAAAAAATACCAGGTGGTCGTAAAACAGAAGGAATGAAACAATTTGGCTTCACGTGATTGTGAAGACCTTCAATTGAAAGTCGCTGGGAATTGTGTATGGTAAACAGGAAGACATTTCTTATTTCAAAATCCCTTTCACTTGTTTAGCACAAAACAAAATTCCCTTCATCAATTGACTGTCAAAGAGGTTTATTTTTTGGGTCTACAAAGTAGTTATTTGATGTCTCTACTGGCTGTGGCTGATCTACTAATGCAGTCTCTCCAAGTGGTTGAAAATGTTCAGTATGTTGCCATATTACGTGCAAACCTTGGAATAAAATGGTTGTTTTGCCTTTGCATTTAGGGAAAAGTCAAACCAGTTCCTTGCAATGGAGGTCAAGTCCATTTTAGGGACTAACTCCCCCATTTTGATGTTGCTTTCAGTTTCCTCCTGCAGATCTATGGGACTGGTTGTACTTTGCTATGACTGGTGGATCGGGCATTAGTATAATTTTGCTGAGGAAAATTGACATTATTGTAAAACATAGAAGTAAAGCAAATAGAATGCACCCTGTAGACGATTCTATGATTTATTTTCTTTAGTAGCTCATAACACATCTTAATGTTTTTAGAACTGAACTGACTGCTACACGCTACACTTTACTGGGACAAAGCTATTTTTGAATGAATTGAACACAACGATACAGAGATTTAGTTTCTGAACGTGCCTTGACCTGATACAAGGTCACCATAATCCATTTAATCCCTATTTCAGATCTTCATCTTCTTTTTTTCATTGTTCACTCTTTCCAAACAGGCAGCAAAGTCATTTCCAGAAAACTGTCTTTAGACTGCCTCGCTGAGGTGGAGTCTGTCCTCCAGCGATCCCCATTAATCTGGGACAACCTGCACGCCAACGATTATGATTCCAGGCGTCTCTTCCTGGGGCCTTTCAAAGGTCGAGACCCTAAGATTAGGAGCCACCTGAGGGGCCTGTTGCTCAACCCCAACTGCGAGTTTGAAGCTAATTACATCCCACTGCACACACTGGGAACGTGGTACCGAACAGGGAAGGAGGAAATGAAAGGTGAGGGAATGGAAGGAGGAGCATGCACAGGAAATGTACTGGTTAATAAAGTAGTATGAACTTGATCAGACCACATCAAGGCATTGTTACTTCCTTTACTTCTTGGAGAAAAAAGGAGCCAATGTTGCTTAGCAACTGGTACTATTTTGACCACCAGGCAGAAATAGACTTAAATAAATATGTATATAGAAATTAAAGCACCATGTGCTGTCCTACAAACAAGCAGTATTGAAAGTTTTATTAAATACTGCATTGAACTGTTGCACCAGTTTTCAGCCATTTTTTCAAGGAAAAGTTCAAATTTGTAAAGTAGACAAAAGGTGGAGGATCAAAGAGAAAAGAAAAAAAGCTGACTTTAATAATAAATGGGTGGAAGTTAAAGGGAAATTAATTCATTTCACAAAAGTTTGCTGCAGAAGCTATTTATCTTGAATACAGGAGTCTGATCATTAAAAGGTTAACTTTTTTTTTTTAGATTAAAATGATCTTTATAACTGTTATACTGAAATGTTATTTCTGTTGTAGATGAGGAGCTTGAGTACTGTCCTGATGGAGCTCTGACTGCTGCACTCCATGACTGGATGGAAGAACTCAATCAGCCTCTACAAGCAGGTAGAAAACACAATTAAAAATAACATAATGTACACCGGCTGCACTGGTCCAAAGAAAAGCTGTCCAAAATCAAAGCCAACCTGGACTCTGCATGTAATCATTGTAAACTAACTCCAGCTACACTCCTGCATACATTCTGGATCTGTCCCAATCTGCAGACTTTTTGGCGATCAATTTTTGACACCTTCTCTGGGCTATGTGGGAAAACTACACCCATCACTGTTTGGGGTGGCCCATGTTAACACGTCCTTCAGCAAGTACGAGAAGGATGTGATTGCTTTTGGCTCTCTCCTGGACAGAAGAGTGTATATTGGAAGGACCCACACCCCCCAGCATATGTACATTGATTAAGAGTAGTCATGTATCATATCCATCTAGAAAAAAAAGATATACCCTGAAAGGTTCTGTTAAAACATTTTGGGACACGTGGAAGCCTTAACTTGTCAGTGCCTGCCCATGTAATTGTGACTGATCCTGTGTGGGAGGGGGGTTTTTGTTTTATGTTCTTTGTGTTTTGTATGTTCAAAATAACAAAAAATTAATAAAAATATTTTGATTAAAAAAATATCATGACATGTTTTGGTGGGCAGCACAGTGGTGCAACTGGTAGAGCTGCTGCCTCTCAGCATGAAGGTCCCTGGTTCAAATCCTGGTCCAGGTGCCTTTCTGGGTGGAGTTTGCATGTTCTCTCCATGCATGCATGGTTTTTCTCCAGGTACTCCGGTTTCCTCCCTCAGACCAAAAAACATGCATGTTAGGCTGATTGGTAACTCTAAATTGTCCCTAGGTGTGAGTGAGAGAGTGAATGGTTGTTTGTCTTGTTTGTCTCTATGTGGCCCTGTGATGGACTTGCGACCTGTCCAGGGTGTACCCCGCCCCTCGCACAGTGATTGCTGGACATGGGCACCGGCGACCCCCGTGACCCAAAATGGAAGAAGTGGGTAAAAGATAATGGATGGATGGATGGACATGTTTTGGTGTGTTGAAAGGTTCCCACACTAAAATTGTTACATTTTAATCTCTTATCAAAGGTCGTCAAAACTCACGAGCCGATCAGCGAGTCTCTGTTGTGTCATCGCGCTCCAAAACTCCCGACAGGTCCAGCTGTCGCTCCACCTTCAGAGCAACCTCTGCTGTAGCCAAACTTCCAGTCTTCCCCTTGAACTCCAGCTCCCCTCCATCCTCTCCGCCTATGGGCAAAAGGGAAAGAGAGGGTGAAAAAGAGAGGACACAGCAGTCCAGTCAGCAACCTCCTGTGTCCAGGTCAGGGGCGCCCACAGGTGGAGGCCGTGCACAGAAGGCCCAAGGTCGGGGGCTCTGCGGTGGGAAGGGTCTTCTGAGCGAAGCCCAGGTCCGGCTGCTGGTTGGTCTTCATTATCTCCCCCACGAGCACGGCCCTTCAGCCCAGAAGCTGCTGCAGGACCTGACCTGGCTAAAAACAAACTGCCACCTGGTCAGCACCACTGGCAAGAAGACGCAACCCCAGAAGGTCTGTAAGATTTTAGTTTTTGAACAATATGAAATGCAGAATGCAACTGATGTGTATCTAATAACGTTCTCAGGTTGATGAGTGGCGAGGACGGGCCTCCAGGTTCCTGTCTCTGTGTGAAGAAATCGCACAGCTCCACTGCAGCGTGGTGGGCGGAGTCAACAGGGCTGTGCTCTATGACCTCTACCCTTATGTGTGGGACCTGAGGAACACCGCTCTGGTGGCAAAGGCCTTCATTTCCTGGCTGGGTAATAACACAGACTGGTGGTCAATAAATCCAGGGGCCTTCTGGGTGGAGTTTGCATGTTCTCTCCGTGCATGTGTGGGTTTTCTCCAGGTACTCCAGTTTCCTCCCACAGTCCAAAAACATGCATGTTAGGCTGATTGGTAACTCTAAATTGTCCCTAGGTGTGAGTGAGAGAGTGAATGGTTGTTTGTCTCGTTTGTCTCTATGTGTCCCTGTGATGGACTTGCAACCCGTCCAGGGTGTACCCCGCCCCTCGCACAGTGATTGCTGGACATGGGCACCAGCGACCCCCGTGACCCAAAATGGAATAAGCGGGTAAAGATAATGGATGGATGGATGGATGGATGGATGGATGGATGTTTGTCTATATGATTTAATTATTCTGTCTAAGCAGCATTGAATACCATAGAACAAGTCTCACCATTTTTTAGTACTGTAATTTTTGGACTATAGGGTGCACCTGACTATTAGCCACGCACAATAAAAAAACAAACAAACAAACAAATTTGTACACATATAAGCCATGCTTGTGTATAAGCCGCGGGTGTTCACATGAGATATTTACACAGAAAGATTTTCTAAACTTTTAATTAAATACATACGGGTAACGTATACAAATGCATAGAGTAAATGTTGTGGTTTTTTTTTTTTAACATTGCCTTTAACATGGCTCGTTAAAATAAATTACAGTAGCCTACCAGGAAAAGTCACTGATCACTATGTTCATCTTCCTCCTGTGCACTAAAACCACTAAAGTCATCTTCTTCAGTGTCAGAGTTGAACAGCCTCAGAAAAACTTCATCACACACGCCCTCAGTCTCTTTTTTGTTGACGAAAAAGAGTCTGAGGACGTGTGTGATGTATTGGGCAGCTATGTGAGCACCCGCATATGATAAAGCTAAATATTTTTGGCATCATTAGCCTGTCAAAAACATAAATAAATAAAATAAAACATCAATCCATAAATTAGCCACAGCATTGTAAAAGCTGCGGCGTTCAAAGCTTGTGAAAAAAGTAGCGGCTTATAGACCAGAAATTGCGGTACATGTATTTGAAAAGATGGTAAAAGTTCAGTTGTTTTGATGTTTGGAGGACTTTTTTTGTGTCTCCTTCAGATGGACGGGTGCTGGGCGACAGCTCAAACCTCGGCTCCTGGAGGAACTGCTTCCACTGTGAGTGGGATTGAACTTTTCTCTCCTGAAAAAAGTTCAAACTGAAACAATGAGTCAATCATTTTCCACACTACCTCATGTAGTGTTGAATATGGGGCTATGAAAATGGAACCAGAGGTAAAACCCTGAACATTTTTAATTTCAGCTAACATCACAAAGAGTTGTATAAATTAAAACTTTCATACATTTGTATATACTATTTACTATATCGAGCCTAATTATGTGACAGAAAGGATGTTTTGCTCTCATCTTTGTTAGGGTGCGGGAAAACCACCGGAGTGGACGTGTCGGGGGTGGACTCAGAGCCGTGGGTGTTCAAAGGGGGAGTGTCCGGGGAAGTGCAGGTAATCTATGTAAAATACTATTTGTCATAGATATGTTTAATGTATTTCGGCTTGCCGTTATTCCTAAATTCTTAATCCGCTCTGTCAAATGCAGTGCTTAGATCAACCTGATGTGTGTGTTTGTGAATATGTTTCGAAGGTGCTCCTCCCAATAGGCAACAGCAGCGAACTCTTCACTCATCCCCCTCCTCTCTTCCCTACCTCTCGCCTCTACAACATCAGGCCGTATCACAACAAAGACAAGGTAGGTGACGTCTCGTTCACTTTCAAAAATAGTCAGACAAGATAAGATCCACAAGTGTATCACAAGTTTTACAAAAGCGCAGTCAGTTTTTCAAATGTACACATTTCAATTTGCACAAGTAGGAACATTCTGCGCATACTAATTCCACAAACCACCTGTTGTGGATGAATCAGTCAACACCGGCGCACGGATCAGCTGCCTGTGAATGTGACTTTTGAGAACAACAAAGTCCATGCTCAATAATCCAGGTATACAATTACTGATTATTGAGCATAGACTTTGTTGTTTTCAACCAGTTTGACATGACTGTCAACAAGGAAGAGGGCCGGCAATGGAGGAGGGGGCGTACCAAAGAGACCATCTTATCACAAGCAGAACTGGTTTGTTCCACTTTGGAGTAAGTTGTTGGGGGAAGAATCAGTTTTGTTGTGTTTCCTTGACTGTTGAAGCCTTCAGGATCAAAGGCGAAACATTTCAGCACAAAAAAAAAAAAAAACTGTCCAGATGACCTGACTGAAAAATGTTGGGTGACATTTGAGACTTTCTTACTGCTCCAGATTCACAAAGGTAATGTTGCGTTTGTCTGGTGAAAAGCTGGGACATCTGACTATTAGATTTACTGAATCAGTGGAAAAATGCCCATTTATAACTTGGCACAATAGCTCATAATCCCTATTAAAACCCATATGCACATACACTTAAAATATATTTTCATACATAATAGACTCAAATCAATGGGGATACTGGTTTATAAAATAGTTTACATAAATTATATGACTGTAGTTGCTGTAAGGCAGTGGTAATCCACAAACTCAGGAATAATAAGTTTAATTTCTCTAATAGTGCCTTCTGCTGGATGAAAGTATCTGTCTGACAGAAAACAAGCAGCACAAATAGAAAACTCACGATCTACCTTTCTTACCTGCTCACTTGGAATCCCACAAGGCTCAATACTGGGCCCAACTTTATTTAGCCTATATGTTGATTTATCCAATGTCTGCAAGACTTTAAAAATGCAATTATATGTGGATGATACTGTACTGTATGTTCATGAAAAAACAAAAAAAATGAAGCTGCTGCAGTACGTTCTGGTGCCATGATGCTGTTGTCTCACTGGCTCCAGGACTCTTGTCTACATCTTAACATTAAAAAAACAGTCTGTATGTTTCTCTCTCGGCTGCCAGCAGATAATGAGCAACCATATGTGTTAGTGAACGGAAAGACATTAGATGTGGTTGAACAAATTAAATACCTTGGAGTAATTTTTGATTCCAATCTAAATTTCAAGCAGCATGTAAAGATAATTTCACTTATAATTAAACTTAATCTGTTAAACTTAAAACATAATCTTCTCTGACAACAGAATCAGCAAATTACATGCATGCCATGATATTCAGCCATATAGCCTATTGTTATACTACATGGTTTCACACTTCAGAGGCCATTTTGAAGCCCCTAAAGTCTCTTTTTTAAGAAAACACTGAAAATGTTGGACAAAAAGCTTTTACAGTATTGTAACATAAGTATAACATTCTGAATTTTGATAGCTATCAGATTTTTATGGATGCTTGCCTGATTTTGAAAGTTTTAAATGGACTTGCTCCTCCTCCTTTAATGTATTTTATAAGTTAGAAAATAAACAAACAACAAGTAATACAGAAAACACAAGAGCACTGACCAGAGGAGATTGTAATATACAGCGGCGCAGGACTAAATTAGGAAAAATGATGATGTCCATCAGAGGCACGCAGTCATGGACACACTGCCAATTTATATCAGGAAGTCTAGCACCTAATCCAGCTTTAAAAACTCTTTGAAACATTGGCTGAAAGCCACCCAGAGGTGCACTCATGTAGATTACTTTGTCTATTTTCTTATGGCATCATATCTTTATTGCAATTTCATGTTGTGTTATGTGTTGTATAGGTGGTGTTTGCATTATTCTCTGCTCTTTGTTTTGTGGGATATTTCTTGTTCTTAGCTGCCTTAGGACAACGGATGAACATTAGCTGTTGTAACTCCATCATATATTGACGCTTACTGCTAACATGTTGATTTAATATAATAATATAATTGATATAAATCCCTCCTTGGCCTGCTACTTTCTTATATCTCCTCCCACATGTCACGCCATCAGTGCAGTTACAACATGTGGTGGTAGAGTGTGATGGTTGGGAGACCGACTCCAACAGACTTCTATGCAGCCTTCACCAGACATCTAGATGCAGGAAGAGGGCCACCTGCATCATGAAGGATCCCACTCACCCAGCACACACACTTTTTTTGCCCCGCTCCCCTCAGGAAGGAAGTTGAGGAGCATTAAGTGTAGAACCACTAGACTGAGGAACAGTTTCTACCCTGAGGCTGTTAGACTCATGATTATCTAACCAGGACAATCATTGTGAAAAATCACATCATGTTGCTGCTGATCTGTTTCATGTTGCTGCTGATCTGTTTCATGTCGATGGGTTCATGCGTGCTCATCTGCTCACACAGACTCATGTTCATGTTCGTACTGCTGTTCGACGTAATGTTTTTACACTATTAGTGCTTAGTGTATTTTTAGTTTGTTTTTCTCAGTTCATATCTTAGATGTTATCACTGTTTTTCTTTTACATTTTATTGTTGGATGTAATTGGGACCCTGTGTACATAATTTCACTCCACCACATGAGGTGCGAATGACAATAAAGAATCTCTGACTCTGACCCTGACATACGCTCTCAGTCCATCATTACCTGCAGCGTTCCCTCACTGCGGACTGAACTTGGCAAAAAAGCCTTTTCCTACTCAACTCCTGCACCTGGAACACCTTGCAACAAGAACTAAAGTGGTCCACCTTGATTTCTTTAAGGGGTTTCAAACATTTGATACTGTCAATAGAAAAATCAAAGCAAATGTGTTCTTGTTTTTAGTATTTCACCCTGTTTTATGGCACCCTGATTTATTGTTTTGTATACTACTCCTATTTTAACTGCATTTTTACTGTAGTTTATTGTTATTATTGTTTATTGTTATTGTTGTCTGTACTTTAGATGTTCTGTCTGGAACAGGTCCCTCTTGTAAATGAGTCCCCGTGGCTCGAGGCTAGCATGTATAAATAAAGGTTGAATTGAATATGCATTGTCCTAATTAAAATAAACAAATAAAATGAATAATTTCAGAGAACCTGGTTCAGGGCTAGTAAAATGCAAGTTCACTTTTACTATCCTGTAAAGAAATGTACAGCACTAACCTTTTTAACTATGTATTTGCAGGTGGAGCTGTATCGGATGGTCCGCCAGCTTCACCTGAGAACTCAGGGAGGCCAGGAGTCCAGCATGGCTCATCCAGATGTCATTGGAGACAGGTTAGTCTTTGAGACTGGATGGATGTCTCTGTTATCTGACGGATGTGCGATCCTGTCTGCGATGACACACTCTTTCATCTTCTAGATGTCTTGGCCCGTGTCTGGCGCTGAGCCCAGAGTACAGCTTCGTCCTGGAAGACGAGCTCGGTGTTTGTGGCTGCGTGCTGGGCATCTTGGACGTCGGCTCCTTCGCCAAGCGGTGCCAGGCCACCTGGATACCTGCCATGAGAGACAAGTACCCACCCAAAGGGAACAACACCCTCACCAACTCGCAGGTGAATACAATAGCACGACACAGCAAAACGAGCTCACAAACCATCTGTGTCTGACCCAGACTGCTGAGTCATTTTAAAGCGTCCTGCATGCATGTTCAGATCTGAACGAGGCGTCCGGCGATGCTATGCACACTTATCTGTAGCTGCTGTCACACCAGCTGGGCTCTAGCATTCAAAGAATAATTACCAGCAGGGCAGATGGTGGTGAACACAAGAAAACAAAACAAATGACACAAGCACGCTCAAATACGATGACGCACTACAGCACGTGCACGCATTTGAGCTGTACTTCATGGTCATGTCTGTACAGAATTCAAGCGTAAGCAGTTTACTGTAAGCAGTTTTCTCCAAGTGAGATATAATGTGTCGTTGTGGTAAAACACCTTCCATTGCAACAGTTAACGGTTTCTTTTGTAACATGATGCTCTCCCAGTGTTTTAGCTTTTCTCAGACGAAGAATCAAATTCAATTCAATTCAGTTTATTTACATAGCACCAAGTCACAACAGAAGTCGTCTCAGGGCACTGAACAGAAACATCCCCATACATAGAAAAGCCAATAAGTAAAGTTCTCTATGTAAGGAAGCCAGCAGACTTGTTGAATCTTCACTTCATCACAGTCTCCCACCCTGAGAGAGCACAAAGGCAACAGTGGAAAGGAAAAACTCCCTTTAACAGGAAGAAACCTCCAGCAGAACCTGGCTCAGGTTGAGCTGCCATCTGCTTTGACCGGCTGCTGTCTCAGAGGACGGGAAGGAGAAAACGGACAAACATAGAATGGCAGGTCCTGGTGTACTTTCTACAGGAGGAAAGACAAATAAACATGTTAAGATATAAATAATTACAAATACAAAACAGGCAGAGTAAAGTAAGTAAAGACAGCAGCAGAGTGAGGAAATATGGTTAATTTGTCCTCCAGTAGTCTAAGCCTATAGCAGCATAACTAAGGGATAGCTCAGGAAACCCAGGCCAACCCTAACTACAGGATTTATCAAAAAGGAAAGACTTAAACTTAAAACTGGACAGTGTGTCAGCCTCATGGACAGAAACTGGAAGTTGATTCCACAAAAGAGGAGCCTGAAAACTAAGATCTTCCTCCCATTCTGCTTTTGGAAACTCTAGGAACTGCAAGTAAACCTGCAGTCTGAGAGCGAAGTGTTCTGTTAGAAAATATGGAACAATAAGATCTGCAATAGATGATGGAGCTAGGTTGTTGAGGGCTTTGTATGATAGAAGTAAGATATTTGGTCTTTGGTGAGCTGGGCCAGCCTTCCCCAGCTGCTGCTCATTGCTGCTCTGGCCCCCGGCCAGGGACCGGCTTGCGGTCACTGTCGGGTGGGTGGGGGTGTTGGGGTGTTGGGCTGTCTGTGTGTGCCTGTTTATGTCTCGGGTTGGGTTTTAGGTGGTCCCCTCTTTTGGATCAATCCCCCCCCCCCCCCCAATTTAATGTGGGGTCTACTTCCCCATGTTGCACTCCCCTCCAGTGGTGGCCCCCCAGCCACCGGTGCATTGGCGGCTCTCAGCAGCTGGGGCTGGGTGGTGGGGTGTATGCGGGCCTGCTCTGGTGGCTGCCTGCCGGGGCCTGGGTGCCCTGGCTCTGTCGGGTCTCTGATGGGGGGTGGTATGACCTTGGGACACGGGGCTCTGTGTCCATGGCCGGATCTACTCTGGAGGGGCATCGCCCGGGGCTTCCCTCTGCTTCTCCCGGGGTTCCGGGCTTGGGGGCCACTGTGTGTCTGTGGCTCCGGTCTTCCCTGTGTTACCATCATGTCCTGTGGGGAGGGGTCTGTGGGTCCCCACATCCACTATCGAACATTGTTAAGGAGAAACTGTGCAGCATGCTCACACAGGTGTTTAGATTCAGGTGTTTATCAGATACACACTCAATTGAGTTGTGGTGGCCACTAAATACATGTTTTACCATGTACCATATAAAATACTTTCTAATGATTTTATAAGTATAATTATATATGTTTTTTTGTTGTGGGTTCTCGATTTTGTTTTTTTTTCTCTTTCCGCAGGTCTAGTCAGGCTTCAATGATGATTTGTGTTCTCTTTATCCCTGTCTCTCTCCTCTACTTCTTTACCTTTTAACCCTTCTCTCATTTTTCTGTTTTGTTTTCTTCTTTGTTTTTTCATCCTCGTGTCAATTACATCTGAAACAAACCCAAAGCAAATTCTAATAAAATTTTATAAACAGTATCAAGTGAAGCATTAAGGCCAGCCATAATGCTTGTGAAAGTAAATCTGTTGGGCATCACTTTGACACTCGGACAATAATTCTGAGTGTCTCAATGTTGGACAGGACAAGGTAAACAAACAAACAAACAAAAAAAGATTTTGAATTCAATTCTGAATTTGACACAGAGCCAATGAACAAACAAACGGAACTGGTGGGAAGCAAAAGATGCGGTCAGAGACGGACATCTGTGGATGCGTGAGCTTCCTGTTCAATGAGTCACTGTGCACGCTGCCTGATGTTGTTGTTGTTGAGTGACAAAGCATGTGTGAATGACATGTGTTAACTCCCTAAATAAATTGTTTTTTCTTTTTTTTTCCCCTTGTCCTGTCCGGCATCGTGACACTTAGAATTAACCTATTTCCTGTAGCTTGTTTTAAAAGTTGGAAGAAAAAAAAACAACTTCTTGTTTGAGTTCCAATTAAAAAAAAAAAAGTATTTTTGATTGACAGTGACAGAGTACATGTCTACACCACAGACCCACATAGGGTAAACAGGAATGTAATGCTGCCTATCTAAAGTTTAGCGATCGGGATTCATCTGTATCTTGTCGGTCCTCATAAGATTATCACTCCGTACCCTGATTTAATGAGTTTGTTCAGGACTCGTCAAGTGCCTCTCATGAGGTGCATTTAACAACAGACTTTCTTCACAACGTTGCCAGAAAACCTGAACGTCTGCTTTCCTTTGAACAGGACTTAATCCGGTTAATGGAGGAGGACCAGGGGGAGTACCCAGACTCGCTCCTTTATCACTTCCCCTCTCAGCTGCGACTGGACGCCCTGCCTGAGCTGGTGGACGTCAGCGTCAGCCGAACCCTGATCACCGCCCTCTTCACAGCGCTCAAGGCCAACGGTAAGCTCAGACTGTCTGTGTGCACTTTTTATGTGTTTGGATTGGTGAAATAAGGTTATTATTATACCACCTCTCTACAGTACTGATATCTGAACAGAATTTATTTTTCTCCACTTAAAAACACAAATCTTATTCCTAAGGGTTTCCGCAAAACACTGAAACTCTGCCACACCACTTGGTGGCAAGATTGTCCACACTAACATATACAGAGGAAGATCATCCCCTGTAAAGATTTACCCCAAACTGTTGTAACTTGTTTTTTTCTGTTATATTGTTTAGTTTCCTTTCTGATATTGCCAATCAAAGTTTGATAGCAACAACGTTAGGATAAAGTGAGACGGATGAAGGAAAATGTGGATGAGAGATGCAAACACAGTAGAAAATTTAGTTCTAATAAAAACAGCTAATGCAGTTTGTTCAGTTCATTGCTGGAGTAGCTTTCCCATTGCTGAGCAGCAGGGTGAGCAGGAGGGCCAAGAACGTCATCAAGGACAGCAAACACCCCCAAAACAAACTGCTCACACCTCTGCCATCAGAAGTATGAAGTCACAGACTTTCAGAGTTTTTATCCACTAGTCGTGCACACTCATACACATTGATGTGTTGGGGGATGTGCAAAGCCAGAATTTCATTGCATGTTGTCAACGCTTTCACTTCTGTGCAGAGAATTAATAAATGAATCTGAATCTAAATATGGTTTTAATGTCAGGGTGTTTGTTGGTCAGTGAACATCAGCTGTCGGCTTCATGGCCATATCCAGCCTGTAAAATATTCAACCATTATTGAGTTTAGGCCTGTCACGATAACAACTTTTGCTCGGCGATTAATTGTCTCAGAAATTATTGCGATAAACGATAATATTGTTTGAAATTTAACAATAATTAGTAATTATTGTCCAATTTAAAAAGAAATGCTGCTTAATTTGTTTGGAGTGTAGTAACTTTTTCGACCATCGGATGGCAGTATAAGACTGTTTGAACCAAAGGATGGTTAGTGAGGGAGCAAGCAGCATGTCTCTTTAAGGAAAATGAGAGGGGGGCCCCTTGATGTGACATGGGCTGTCTCTCTTTCCTTTTCTCCGGTTTTCAAAATGGTGGACACTCCGTGTGGTTTGAGCTCTTTAGCATAGCATTTCACACAAAGCTTTTAATAAAAAAATAAAAAAAATCAGTAAACGAGTTCATCTTCTTTTTGCAGAGAAAAACAACTTTTTACATGAAAGCACAAGTTTCAACTGTGAATTTTGGAGCTTTGACAAGACTGAGTTTTTTTTTTTTTTTTAACAGAGGTCGGCATGTTAGCTTAGCTCGTAGCTTAGCTTCTCAGCTTAGCTGCTTTTAACGATCCAAATTTGCAGTTTTGGATCGTTAAAATGGATTTTAAAGAGAAAGGGAGGCGTCATTGAAGAGCACCAAAGTTGAGGTTTTTGTCATCCAGTGTCTTTAATAGAAAGTGACACACGAAGAAACGAAAAAGCCGATAAATGAAAATGAGGTCGATAATTTTCATTTATCATGCGATTAATTGTTTTGTTTATCGTGACGGGCCTAATCGAGTTATACACAATTCAACATATTACTGTTTTTATTTGCTGGTATGATAAATAACAATGCAAAGACTTGTATCCCAGAACACTGCTCGTTGAGAAAACCTACAAATATTGGAATCAAGCCAATTTAACAAGAGCAAAAATGACTATTTTATTCTTATTCAATTTCAGTTTTTACTTTTGTAGTTCATGTAACAAGTGTGGTGAATATACGTCATTAGCAATCTTTTTCAACATTAAAATAATTGATGTTTTGGTACCTTGAGAACACAAAGATCCTTGATGATAATTTTCTTGCCAATCTTAACAAAATTCACAGTACGCCCCTTTTTTTTTTTTTTTTACATCTTTGACTGATGCCTGCAAAACATTAACACATTACACTGTGTTGGTCATGTTGCGGTTGTTGTTGTTGTTGTTGTTGTTGTTGTTGTTGTTGTTGTTGTTGTTGTCCATTATTGTTTTTGTTGGTTTCTACTTTTTGGTGTCCTGTTATGTAATCTGTTGCTGTGTGCTTGTTCTGTTTGTCCCTGTACAGCACTTTGGTGTGCTTTGTCACTGTTTAAAGTGCTTTATAAATAAATTGGTATGGTACGGTATTAACATTTATACCAAATTTAAGCTTGGATGTTTATACACAATTCAGACTTATCAACTAGATCTTAGTCTGAGGTGTTGCCAACACAGTTTATAACAGAAAATAATTAAACAGATCAGTTATAATGATCATAAAGCTCAAAGACTGGCCCTCACATTGTCATGAAAAAATGAATGGCCCTTTCTAATTAAGGGCCACCTTTACTGTGGACATTATAAAATTCTTTCAGTTTTATTTAAGAGAATAACATGGAATATGTTCATTTTTACGTGATGTTTTTCCCTCACCTTCACTGAAACCAGCCGCCGTGGGCGTTTGTTGCTGCTCCGTGTGTATCGTTCTGCAGGTTCTCAGGGCGTGTTCTGTGAGGTGCAGCCCACGGACCATCAGAGGTTGGAGTTTCTAACCAAGCTGGGCTTCCTGGAAATCCTGCGAGGAGAAGCCCGGAGCAGAGAGGGGGTGGTGCTGGGGAGGCTGCTCTGAACGTGTTCAACGCACAAACGCACACCTTCACAGATGTGCATCTCCCTTCAGACATCCAACGACTGGTGCCGTTTCTATTAAAGTTCTCAGTGTCTCTTTTTCATTAGGGAGGCGGCAACCAAAGGTGGTGAGGTATAAAATCTCAGTCCTTACTGAGGCTCCTATAAGCTAAAATTGAATAGTTGGTGTTTGTTCAGAAGAATGATTGGCTTCTTACATGTGTTTATTACAAACAGATCTATCAGTTCGAGAAAACACTATTGTAACAAAACAAGTACCGGTACATGAATGGGAGGGGCTATAAGTTGCACTGGAAGAGCTGAAACACTGAGGCACTTCTACAAACACAACGTTCTGACCAGAGTGGAGCAGAGATAAGGGAGCTCGGAAAACATGCAGGTTTGAGGGTTTTCAGGGACAAATCAAGATGAGCCTCCAGGCTTCGGAGCAATTTTCAAAATATGAAATAAGTGTTACATTTCAATCGTTTGGAGAGGAAATGTGCTCACCTCTTTTTAGATTATTGACCTGGTTTACAAGATTTCTTTACGCTTTAAAGAAAATGACAGAGATGATTGAACTGGGAGCAGAGCATTAGATCCAAGAAGCTGGATTATACACTTCTGTGGAAGAAAATTATTTTTTTTTAAAATTTGCAATATAACCCAGAGCCAGAATCACAGCACCATTCAACCATAAGAAAGACTTTTCTGGTTTGTTTTAGTCTCACAACCCCCGTTTGTTTTATTTCTAGACCTAAGCAAAAGATGGAAAGACATTTGTTCTCAGCCCCAAGTTCTTCATGATCTTCATGAGTTGGTTGAATATTCATTTTACAAAAAGCAGCAGCACTTCTCCTGTTTTAATCTGCAGTCATTAAATTAATAAAAGCTTTGGAGCGAGTATTTAAAGCAGTGGTTCCCAACCCTGGTCCCTGAGGAACACCATCCAACATGTTTTAGTTGTTCCTCTGCTCCAACACAACTGATTACTTTGTACAATGAAAAGGTGATAAACAGGCTTCTGCTGAACTTGAAGTAATTAAACCACTGAATCTGTTGAAGTAGAGCAGAGAAACAACTAAAACATGCAGGATGGTGTTCCTCAAGGACCATGGTTGGGGAACCACTGGTTTAAAGAACTGACGGCTGAATTTACTACTTAATATTTAGGAGTTCTGGTCAGTTTACAGGCAAAACTGAAAATGGACTGTTTATAGAAAGTCTTATTTACTGAGTTTATCCATCCATTATCTTTACCCGCTTATTCCATTTTGGGTCACGGGGGTCGCCGGTGCCCATGTCCAGCAATCACTGTGCGAGGGGCGGGGTACACCCTGGACGGGTCGCAAGTCCATCACAGGGACACATAGAGACAAACGAGACAAACAATTACTGAGTTTTGTGCTGGTTAATATTATTTCCTTTTCTTTGTGTAGGTAAAGACAATCGGGGGTCTTTTTATTTAAAAGTCTATGTTGAGCTGATTGTTTTCACAATACAAACAATAGTTTCATTTTTGGATTAGAGGGAATGAATAATCCTCTTTGGTGGATCTTGTGCTTTGCTCTCTTTGCTTTGTTTTATATATATATTTTCTCGTAAAAAAAAAAAGACAAATAGTTTTTGGTGCTGAATTTGTTCGTTTTGCCTTTCACACTGAATGATGAGTAAAAATAATCAGTCAGAAAGTGGATGGTCATATATCATGATAGCTGTGCAGTGAGATTGTGGTGATTTGTCATTGTGTTAGCAGAGTTTTGGATTCCTGGGTGGAGCGTGGGGGTGTGTGGTGACAACTGTGGGGCCCGGGCACAGCGGCATGATTTGGTCTTCCAGAATTTGCAACTAGCATGACCTTGTGACTACTACCCAACCATGCCCACACCAAGCTGAAACCCCTCCATGTTTATCAGTGTAACGCAGGGAGGGATGGCTGCTACAGGCATCACGTCTTGTCGTGTCACTCACTACGACCAATAAGATCACGCCACAGTCTTATCATGTGGCTGCAACAACCAATCCATCCAACTCCTTAGCTAATCTCATTCATTGTTCATTGAGCACAAAACTAGAAGCACTTGTTGCCAACATGTTCAGGCCTAGCTCAGTAGTGTTGTGCCAATGTGGTGTGATCTAGCACATCTTGGGGCACAGCGGCGTCCAAGGCACGGTGCGTGGACGATTGTATCATTGTAAGGCTGTGCTGCTTAATCTACTATCTCACTGGACTGCGACTTTTGACAAGGTGGCAAGAAAATAGGCACATTTTCAGAGAGCTCCTGTGCAGGTGTTAAACTACAGAAACTAAACTGAGACGGATTTGGGATGAGTTGGAGATGTCCACAGTACAGAATGTTCTAAAACCTGCTCAAACAAAAAGACTGCAAACCTTTGTGACTCGAGCAAATAAACCTAAAACCTGCATAAATGTTTTAAAGATATTTTGAGGATTCTCACCTGCCAGTCATCAACTGTTGGAGCCCAGTGAGATACTTGATCCTTATGTATACAAGGTGGTGACAAGGAGTTAATCAAGGACAGTAGAAAGCACCTACTTGGTGAGTACTAAAGGTGCAGCAATCTTTCACAATAAATATGGTTTTCCAAATTTGTTGCGTCGTCATCCAGGGCGGTGTTGGATATCTTCATAACACCAAACCAAACCCAGGCCTCGCTTCAATGTTTACTCTCTTTTAGAACCAGTGATTGTTTACATGCATGTGTGTGCGTATATTTCAGAGCAGGGCTACATGGACAATGATGTAAACACAAACAACTAGATGTCCTGATGCATGCTCAATAATCCAGGTAGCTTAATCTTACAAGGTTGAGTCAGGTCATCTGAACGGATTCTTCTTTTCTGAAAAGTTTCGGCTTTTATCCAAAAGACTTCTTCAGTCTGAGGAGCAGCAATAAACTCAGTCTTATAAGCAGCACCTTCTCATAGTGGATCAACCAGTTTGCCAGTTGTTCACGTGTAAAAGGAGGACCATCAGCCTAACAACTGATCCTTAGTGCCCTGGAGGCTGAGGGATACTCCAACAAAACAGGACTCCAGTCAGCCATCAGGTGAAAAGGAGGAACCCAGACCCAGACCAGTGCTCATTCTGTATGTTGTGAGAGTTTCAGAGAAACTGAGACGTTTATTTTCTAAACAACGTCCCAGTGGCTTTTAAACCCCAAAAAACGTTACGACTGGTCCATCCCAAAGATCCAGTCCCCTGGCACAAACAGAGTAATGTTGTGTATGCTGTTCAGTGTCAGGAGGGTGATCAGTCTTACATCGGGGAAACTAAACAGCCACTGGCCAAAAGGATGGCCCAGCACAGAAGAGCAACATCATCAGGCCAGGACTCTGCGGTCTACACTCATCTGCAGGCCAGAGGTCACTCTTTCAGGGATGAAGATGTTCACATCCTTGATACAGAGGCATTTTGGTCTGAGAGGCCATCTTTGTGAAGGGAAATCGTCCATCATTACACAGGGGTGGAGGCCTCCATGTCCAGATGTCCACCTCTTACAATGCTGTTATTGCTAATATCACTCAGCCCTCTGTGAATAGCAAGCAGCCATCAGAGCACTAATGATCAATTGTTAGGCTGATGGTCCTCATGTCATGTGAACAGCTAGTTTTGGCTGTCACCAGCAAGCTGGTTGCTCCACTATGAGAAGGTGCTATTTATAAGACTGAGTTTGTTGCAGCTCCTCAGACTGAAGAAGTCTTTTGGACTAAGAAAAAAAAATGTTTCAGCAAAGAAGAATCTGTCCAGAAAACCTGACTCAACCTTGTTAGACAAACAACTAGAATTTCAAAGGCATGCGCTTAGAAACACAAAATGTGTCATTGGATATTTATCACCCAACATAGCTGTAAAAAGCTTAAGAACAAGAAAAAATGCTCATTTTTGCATGCCAATCATCATTAGAGACCAAGAATCCTACAAAGCTGGAGCAGATGTACAAACACTCAGTGTATCAAAGTTTACATTTTGTTCTGTTGAACTGAACAGAAACAATTTCCTCTTCACGATCACAGCTGTCAGACACTGAAATATGTCCAACGTATGAAAACAGTTTATTTGAGGTGAACACAGGACCGAGTGTGAGATAAAACCCCAAACTGTTTCATTCTGCCTTTATTCCGAACATGAATGGAGTTTAAAACACACCGGACACACACACACGCACACACATGTTCTTGTAAATGTACTTTGTGGGGACTGTGCATTGACCCTTTCCCTAAACCTAACCATTACTAGTACATGACTAACCCTAACCCCTCAACGAGACTTGGCCTTTTGAGGACCAGGTTTTGGTCCCCATAAGGAGCAGTTAGGCCCCACAATGTAGGATTTTTGTAAAATTGGTCCCTACAAGGTAACCTGAAATGAACACAAACACACAAAAACACACACACGAACTTGATCAAATGAAGCACAACAGCACTCACAAACTTTTTCACTGAAAGTATTTAGGACCATGAATGTTCATTTATTTTTATTTCACTTCAAAAAACAAGTACAGTTTGTGCAAGTATTTATATTTGATTCTTTTTTTAAATGTATAAATATTCTCGATCTGACTGAAAGGCACTTTTATACAATTCATTTTTAAAAGCCTCAATGATGTTTTAGGTTGATATGAATAATGATAAAGCTCAAACATGGAGCCCACTTAAATCAGCGATTCCCAACCCAGGTCCTTGAGGAACGCCATCCTGCATGTTTTACTCGTTTCCCTGCTTTGAGGCACCTGGTTTGAGGGGATGAGTGAATAACAGGCTTCTGCAGAACTTAAGGAAGTAATGAAATCACTGAGGCAGACATGTTGGAGCAGGAAACAACTGAAACATGCATGGTGGTGTTCCACAGGGGCCAATGTTGGGAACCATTGACTTAGATAAAACACTTAAATAGAAATGCATGAAGTGAAGCAAAATCCAAACTTGTTCGATGCAAAAAGCACTTTTAAAGAAAAAAAAAGTTTCAGTGGAGGGGTGCAGGATTGTATTTATTTTTATTTTATTTTTACTCTGTGTTGTGATTAAATGTGTGTAATTTTAGGCAGGTGTGTATTAGAAAAGAGGGATTCACACAGTTAACATGAACCACTGTGACAAAAGTAGACATAAAGGACAAAAGCTTTTGATTTAGATTTAATTTTAACAATAATCACAACATCTTATCACAAATAAAAACCTATTTTTAAGGCTGAAGCAGTTAATTGTTTTATGAAAACAGTTTCATGTTCTAACCGTCTGCCTGCATACAGCTACGTCAGCTTTGAGTTTACAATGAATCTGGGTGCAGTGCGGCACGTCTATGCAGGGCAACGACAATTAAAATAAAATGTAACTGAAGAATTCTGTCATCTTAAAGCAATGTTTTTGATCTAACTTGTTGACTTTCATCCTTAATAAAACAACTTTTTCCCCTTTAAGCTGCCTGTTCCTTGGTATTTATTGGGTTCAGTTTGTCAAAATGAGTGACGAATCATGATAAAATCAGTAATTATTTATATGAAAATGTTTTTTTTTTATTAGAAATAATAATTCAGTGTTTAATTACTTAACCTGGGGAGTGGTGGTACAGAGGTCAGAGAAGGTGGGCCTGTGATCGGAAGGTTGCCGGTTCAACTCCATGAACCAACAATATGGGGCCGAGATGGTGCAGAGGCAGGGCAGCCGACTCGGGACCCCTAGGCTCGATCCCCGGTCATTGCACATCTCGTGGTGTCTCTGAGCAGGACACCCAATCCCGAATTGCTCCCCGGGCGTTTACATAGCTGCCCACTGCTCCACCTGGGTGTATCCCAGGTGCGATGGGTTAAATGCAGAGAGC